CGTTTTTATATCATCCACTCTACTGACATTGTTTCATCAAATAATCACCTTTTTTAATATTTACAGCATTTCCTGGACACAAAGTGGTACACAAATCAAAAAGAAGTTAATGACATGTGTATATGTGTGGGGGGAAGTGCTAAAAACCTAAAGTTTTTTTATAATGAAGACATTAATAACTTGGCTGCACAGTAGTTGAGTTATGTCATTGGAAATGAAGAAAATTTATATTTAATGATCAATTACAGTTTAAGTCAGCAATGTATCTCAAAAAGAATATGGTACAATTTTCTTTCTAATTCTAATCAAAATTAATAAAAGGCTAAGAAAAGCTTGTGATTTAATCAGCAAACTATTTTATTCAAATAATCGTGCCATCTGTGTTATAGTGTCTGAAACTTAGATTTAAAAAGTCATTATATAAATTGGTTCTCTGGTTTTTATTCAACATCAAGTCGCCTCATTCAGATCTTATAGCTATTCAACTATTAGACATGCTATTAGAAAAAAAATGATCACACAAGTTAAAATAAAAAGGATAGTGCTTAGAATTGTTTAAAAAGTGAAAGCTTATAAAAACATAAGAATATGTATTTTATATTGATAATTATATGTGCTATGTAATGATAAGCATCATTGCCAAACAGAAAAAAAATATGGCATTTGTTCAACCAGTTTAATTATGAACAAATATATTCCAATGGCCTAAGGAGAAATTAGATTAACTTAGAAATTAAAAACATGCAAAGGTTATGTAGAGAAAATCAATCAAGAAGGTGAAACAAGAGAATGATTTTTCTTTTAAAACAAGAGCTTAGAGAGTTTGGATTAGAACGGTTCTTCAAGAACATTTTGATTGATATCAGAATTATGAAACACTTCAAACAAGCAACAATCCAAGTTTACTACTCGCTACTCTTCAAAGAAATTTAGATTTAAATCTCTGATCATATTTCATAGAAAAAAATTTAAAAAAATATAGAGAAAACAGTTTAGTGTGACTTCTTTTTGTAATAATTAGAGTGATTGAAAAGTCCCTGATCTTATTCTTAAATTGTCATATCTCCAGTTATATAAAGTGGATGAATGTACAGGATAAAACCAAGAAATATTTGATGAGGAAGTTACTGTCAAAATAAATAATTTACATTAGTCTATAAAGTAAAAGCTTGTCTCAGTTTCTTTGTAATAAATGAAAAAGTTTTACAAGAAAATATATTTTCCACACCAAATTTTAAAAGTTTAATAATTGCTGGTATAAGATTTGAAGAATGCAAGATAATAAAACTATTTAGAAGTGCTTCTGAAAGATATACTTTATTTTCACAATACTTTGGCATAATAGAAATGAAAAGTACTTGATTAGCAATGAAAATTTAATAATGTAGAGAATACTATACAGCATTTAATTTGTTTAGGAAGTGTCTGGTGCTAACAGGTCAGATATGACCATCACATTGCTTATAAAGCATTATCTAAAAATAACAGTTTGCATAACCTACAAAGAACAATCATATTTCTTTGCTTGGCCAAAAATTCAGTGATCATTAATTTCAAATGAAAAATGGAAAAAAAAAAAAAGAATTTGATAATTAAATGTCCTTACAATTATTTGCTATTTGAATGCACACTGATACCATTTTGGGGGCAGTGTGTCCTGCATGCTCATATGTATCTCCCAGAAACCACTGACCTGTTAACAACCATTTAGATAATCCAAAATGTTCAGTTTAAAAAAAAAAAAAAAAAAAAAGAGAATATAAGCAGACTTGTCTGGCATATTGACATTTACAGTGAACTGCAAGCCTGAAAGACACAGAGTAGAACACTTCCAAAAACAATAAGGTCATTCGTTCCTTAATTAAGGCTATAACCCCAACAATCACAGTAAAACTGCAGGTTTATAAAGACATGATAAATTAACATTTATTTTCTATTCTTACACAGTGTATCAGAGAACTGAAGCTAAATATTGCAGGTTTACAATTTGGTAAATCATTTACAGCTAACTTTGTAAGAAATTAAGTATTCACTGATGTTTCTGGTTATATTTGTACCTGTTCACTTGTTTATATCCGTTTATGAATTGTTTTGGTCTGTCATATGAAGCACCAAGTACCATTTCCTTTACACAAAAAATATAACAAGATTGAAGTAGTAACAATGCAACAAACAATACAGAGATTAATTTTTGTATCTAGGGTTTTTAGATATTATTGATAAACCTTAAAATGGAGAGTGGGGAAAAAGTTTATTTTACACATTTAAATATTTCTTTTTCAGCAATCTTCTTCCTTGTCAGTGCACTTAATCTAATACTTCTCTATAGTTGAATTTAATCTAATAACTGTACTAGGTTATAGACATTGATCTACTATCATACTTACAAAACTAGTATTATTCTTGTTTATCAAAAATGCTTTTAAACAGAAGACTATACAAAGACAAGTGAAAATATGTAGACTTCTGACAACTTGTCCTTTTGTCTGTGGTCATCAGATATAACACCCATTCTTTGATGTTTCTTAAATCTGACAAGATGGAAGTTGGCAGAACTTCTGTATATGATGGACAGTAATCACATACACAAATCAGTATTTAACAATCTCCACAAGAATGAAAATGAATTTGGTGACATCTTAATTTACTTTAGACACCAACCGTACCCTTATTTATCAGTATCAACTTCAATCCTTAATGGGTATCTCACTACAGTGGCCTTCTGCAAGACTAATGCAAGTTCAGAGTTTAGTGTTACAATGGTTAAGAAATTATTTCATAGAACAGTAAGCTCTCATGAAATAGTCATTTTGATCATCCTTGGTCAGTCTAAATTAAACCAAGCAATTTAAAGTGCTTCACTATACAGCAATAATAGTTATCTTTTCTGGGTTGAATCTTTAAGTAACAGGAAATATTTTTTGTTTAATGAGAGTAAAATGAAAATATTATTGCTAAGATATACAACAGCAAACATTCATCTACCAAAAATAATCTGTAACTATGTAAAAATTCAAGAAATCCAATATTTAAGGCTCTTTCCAGAGGTAGCCATAGTGGCACAAAGTCAGCATGGAACCTTCATATATATACACACACACAAATATGTTCATTTTTGTCCTCAGATAATGAAAAGCAACAAAATAATAATTAAGGAATTAAAACATTTTTTTAAACAGAAGTCTAGTATATATTTAAAAAAGAACAGAATAAAAAATAATTAGTGGGGAAAAGGCAGATTTTTTTTTTAATGTGATCCAAGTGCAAAAGGAAAAAGGAATCAATTTTAATGAGTTTTTCAGATTTCGTTACAGGTAATGTAATGATTATATTTTTAAAAGAATATTACTCACCATCAGGAATTTTAGTACAATTTATCATAAGCCATTAATTATTGCATCCCTAGTTCTTTCATATTTTTCAAAATTCACTAACTCAAAAAGAAAAAGATTTGAAAGATACCAAATTAATGAAATAGTCCACTAGCTTCTTCAAAAAGTAATCAAATAGAAAACCTGTGTTCCATCATTAAAAGCTCTAAGAATGGAAAACATTATTCAAGCAAAGAAGCAAACAAAACTGCTAAAAATAATGTTAAATTTGAAGCAATAGAAAGTTGGAAAATCAATGGTTGAAAGACAAGAATTTCAAGGGTCCATATTGATATGTAAAATAATAGAATAATTTATTCAAGTATATGGAATATTGTATTAACCATTTTTTTCTTTGGCCTATATCATTTAGACATATTTATGAAATCATGTTGCACTTATCAAATCAGACACTCACCCAAAAGAAGTTGACTAAATTTCAAAATTCTATTGGTATTTATATATGATTAATGCAAGTATATCTGCCACAACTTTCACCAGTGTGTATGTATTTATGTATTTATATATTACATATATAAAAAAAATCTAACAATAATGTTTAAAACTGTCTCAAAATATTTTTTACATTTGCATAAAAATTTCATATATTTTCATACGCTAAATATAACAGCTATTATGGGACAGAGGTAGTTATTATGTTGGAGCATTTTTTTTTTTATTAGTAATGAAATTAGCCTTAACAACAATGGAATGTATGAGTGCTATTTCTTCAACAATCACAACAAAAATCCTCCCAACAAGAATTTTACAAGCAACCAAATAAGACTCAACAATGAATGACATGATGAAATTCATATGAGAAAAACAGCAGGTGTAGCTAAGAGACAGTTGATCCAAACATTACTTAACATACTAAGTAGCAACAAGCAGGAGTGTATGCAGATCTACAGAAAGTAAAAATAGGACTGGGAAATAGGTGACATTTCTTCCTATTATTCTTAGCACAAAACCAAAGTAGTTAGACAAATGATGTTTGCACAACACAACTTATAACATTAAAGCACTTCAATTTATTTAAAGACTCGTTGAGGGGTTATTATACAAAAATAATGAAAAATAATTTACAGGATTGTGTAAAAAGAAACAAATACAAACAGAAATTTACTCTAGAAATTAAATTCTTGTTTGTGTGTGTGTGTTTTCTCTTTATTTTATATAACACACACTGGGTGTACAGACAGTAAATGTTACTTCAAAAATAATATGTTAAAGATGACAGACAGGTTACATATATTTTTAATAAAGTTTTTTTTTTTTTTTATTGTTGGCAGATTAGTTTCCATATTTTGATATTGAAGGTGTAAAGGAAATGTCCATAGTCCATGTTAGTTCTTGTTAAGATTCCAAGCTTTTGACTGGCTTCAGTCATTATTAGGTTTTATTTTATCCATGTTAAAAGATGAGAACATTCTTTATGTAAATCAGAAGAGTAACTTTAAATATAGACAATATCTCCATTTCTATAAAATATCAAATTTCACAAGACAAATCAAATCTCAAGTGATTGATCAATTTATAAAGCAAAAGTTTTTTTTTTCATTATGTGAAAAAGGATTTTTTTTTATTCTATTAACTAGCTAACTCAAAGCAATCTTGATTGAAACTTACCCATAAAATCCAAGGAGCTCTGATGATTACAAGTAATGATGTAAGGACCATCGATAATATCCAAGTTCTTTTTCCCTCTCACTTCCATTTCTATTCCAAGAATATACTTCACACACCAAAAGGAATTTTTCAAAATCCTGAAAATATGAAATTTATTTGTTTTAAAAAGGAAAAATTCATAATTACTAATCTGAAAAATATCTATATTAAAGAAACAAATTCACTCTTTATATATATATATATATATATATATATATATATATATATATATATATATATATATATATATATATATAATAAAGCTGGCCACTCTATTCAAAGATACCTGTCTACTAGAGCGGCTATTCAATCCCTATTGCAGACACTTGCTCAGGCACATCTGTTATTGTTCAACACCTACAGAGCCAACCTGTTGTTTATACTGCAACTATGCTGAGTAGCCCTTAGTTACAGTTTCTGGGAGAGAATGTGCTATCTAGAATAATCAACCATCTGAACAACACCAGCACGTTCAAACCCTCAGTCACAATGACTTGTGACTTTGTGCTAGCACAGTTATCGATGACCCCAAGTGTTCCGTCTACCCAATTTTACTTACAAGGCTTGGGTCAACTCGTAGTATGGTTTATAGACACTTTCCAAAAGGTGCAGCAGGCTGGGATCGTCCCCACTCCAGACCAATAACATCAGGAAGTTTCCTTCCTGACAAATCAACTATGGTGAGATTCGAACCTGGGTCTCATGGTCAGAAAGTGAACATATATATATATATATATATATATATATATATATAATTTCAAAGAAGAACATTCAATTTTTTTTTTATTATTATTTCATTTTTATAATTATTCTAATCATCACTATCAAATAACTTGATATGGCAGATTCAGCTTTATAAATAGCAGAGTAAATTCCCCTAAAGCTAGTCAATTATTACAAAGGAAAAAAATTACAAATGTTAAACAAGTAGAAAATATGCAAATAGATTTAATTTCACATTTCCTTTCATAGTTTACCTCCATGAATTTTAGCTCCTCACTAAATGTAACTTTCCCTATTAAAAACAAAACAAAACAATCTTTTTGCCTTTATCTCTTCAACAACAACCTGTATAATCCTTCTGAAGCTGAATTTTGACAAGATGACCAACTAGGTTCTGAATCTTACTGTCACCTTTTTTTTTGTTGCTTGGCTGTTGTTATCCTACCTGCCTAACTTCATCTAATTATTTACACTGACATGATAAAAGTCATGGGATAGGTGCCTAGTGTCATGTTAGAATCCTTTTAGCCCAACAAATTACAACTTGACATCAATATCACAAGTATTTAAAAGACCTCTAGAGAGATGTTGAGTCATACTACCTTAATAGCTGTCCATAGCTTCCTGATATTTGTAGGTGCAGCCATCTAGTATGTGAACAGACCTCTCCATCATGTCCCATAAATGCTCGATTGAGCTCATATCAGGCAAACATGGTAGCCAGACCATTTGTCAGAAGTCTCTAGAATGGGCAACTTGGGCAACTGATAACATGGAGCATTATCATTGTTGTTCGGAGATGGATTTAAATGGTCATGAATCAGTGTAATATAACAGTCACTAGTCAATGACATGTTTTGGCAGACAAGTGTACCAACCCATCATATGTGAACATGTACCCCACACCATTATGGAACCACCACCAACCTGCATGGTACCTTGTTGACAAACAGAGTTCATTGCCTCATGGGGTCTTCATTTCACCTGAACACTCTTATCAATCCCAAACTGCTGAAAATGTGATCATTGGACATTACCAGTCGTCCATGGTCCAATTAGTAATATCACAAGCCCAGGTAAGATGTCATGTCTGGTGTCATGGTATTTGGAGACATCCTGGTGGGTCTTCTACTCCTTTATCACATGGAAGCTAAAGATTGCTAATCTAACCTGCTGGATATGATTGGTATGTCCTGCATGGAATGTGGATGTCAACAGTTCTAACCAGACATGATCATTAGGGAGCCATGGTTGACCACTGCCACTGCCCATAGTAGACAGTAATGCCTTCTATTTGGTATTCCCTTGTAGATTAAGATATGTCAAATGACCCCATCATTTTAGAAATAGAATATCCTATACCATCTGCCTGGTATGCATTATCATGTGCTGTTTGAATTCCAATAATGCATCTCATTTTGCCATAAGTTGCTCAGCCAGTTTTTATACTAATTCATTAGATTTCAGAGTACAATTGATATAGGTTTAGGTATTTTCCATGACATCAAGGTATAATAGCCTCAGTGCCATTATCTTTGGCATGTCTTCAGTTTATTTCTTTATATTTTACACAAGGATGCTTTGTAATTCTAGCACATATGCTGTAGAATCTGATCCATTTGATTCTATTTGTTTTACATTGATGTTCTCTTAAATAAGCAGACAACTTTCATTCATGTTCTGAAAATGGTTTTAATAAACATTGAAATACAAAAAATTAAAATAAAAATCATATACAACTCCTGCTTGCTAATTAAATATTATTTACCTATATTTTTTCTTTTTGATTCACCCTTATCCAAATTTGGATCATTGCAATCAATACAAGGGAATAATCAAATATTACTAATTGGATTTAGAAGATATTTTAGTTATGTGCCATGTGTGATACACGCTTAGGCGATCATGTATTGAAAGATACATGACTGAGGAGGCAGATTTTTCCCCCGCAGTAGGTTGCCATTTCTTTCTGCGGTAGACCTGTTGTCATCCAAGACTAAAGAATCTGGTCTGTCCTGCTATTTACCCATAGCTGTGGGTAGAAGAAGAGGATTCATACCTTTCCCAAGGGTATTAGCACACAAGTGTATGTAACGGATTCAACTGGAATTTGATCTTGGCTCTCAGATTCCTCAATCCGAACCGCAATTTGATTGAAAGAAGTTCACTTATATGGCAACTAGTATTTGAATAACTAATGACATCGAAAGGTAAGTTTATTTACACTGTACAAGTTACAAAGAAGATTTGATGTACTCTGTTTGGTGATGCAATTTACTAAGTGGAAGTTGAAAGAGAAAAATTTAAGTTTTATTTTGGTTTGGATCTTATTCAAGTGGGGAAAATAATTATAAAGACACTTTATAAAATATAGATCATCTGGGCACTTCGATATGGTGTAATTGTTAGGTAGATTTGCCTTACTTGATCAATTATGACTGAGTAGTGAGTTTGATCTTCACTAGGTGCTCCATACACAATAAATAAGTACAAGGCATCAATATTTTTTAATAATTATGTGTCACAATAGGTCCCCACCCCCTGCGACTGCCATGAGTGGATTAAAACACAGTAAAGTGGGGCTCAAAACGATTTTATCTGCATCTGAAGGCTGTTGTATCTTTATGATCAACAGTAAAGTCTATGAAATGGGATCTTCAAGGCAATTACACACTTAATCAAACAGGAATAAAATAATAATAAAAATGCAAATTGGGTTTATTTATCAGTTAGTTGGACTTGTATGTTTATATCTAAGCATAAAAGGGATATTACAAGGATTTCCTTTTGATTATAGAACCTGAATAAATACACCCATTTTGCATTGGGGACACAGGATTTTTCAAGGCTTCAAGTGAAATTTCATTCCAGCGATGTGTTAAACGAGAAATTCAAATGTTCTTTTTAAGCTGCTTTCTTGCCAATACACCTTGAAAGGATGACTTACAATTTCTCAATAGAACTCACATTCAAAACACTCCATTGTGATCTTACCATTGAGAAAGGTCTGCATAATATTTCTGTAATATAAAACTGTCTTCATAAAATTGTTTGACAAATGGGACAAGATTATTCTCTCACACTTCTACATAATGGTGAGCATTCTGCTTGCTCTCCATCAACACCAATTCAGTTTTAATTTTGAGTGGAGGAAAAAAAAAAGAAAAAAAAAAGGAACCCATGCAGACCATTGCAGATCACCAAATGAGGATTGGGAATGGGGGTCTTACTCCTCCTTTCAAAAATTGTGCTAACAGCATCACATTCCAATAAGTTATTTTTTCTTAGTCCATTAAACATGTTTCTTCTCTTGTAAGCAAAGCAAAAGCCTTCTTTTTTAGGCTGAAATACAAAATTGGCAAGTTCTCAGTAAATTTGACAGACTAAACTTATAGTAATATTAAAATAAAATATATTTTGATGACCTCTAGAGCAAATGTCACTTTGTTTTCTAATTCTTCAAATAAATAAATAAAAACAATGCAATAACAATAATACAGTTCTTTTCATATGATACCAAAATATTCAATTTTTTGGTCTGAGCTTTGTTTCTCTCAGTATTTTCAAAATATGAAGAATGTACAGAATGAGTAGTGTATAACTTATAGAATCACTACAAATAAAACAAATTTCTAGAAACTTCTAAAAAAGATTTGGTGATATGTCTTAAAAGGAAATAAAAAGTAAATTTAAAGTGATCATTAAGTTTTATAGAATTTAATTCTCTTAAAATATCAAACATTTTGTTACCCCATATTATTTCATATAACATTTTATATACATTCATATATAAAAAAAAAAAAAAAAAAGTAGGAATATCGAGGTTAACTTCATATGTATAATCCTCTTGAATGATATTTGTAATGTGGAGGTAAATGCTTGGATACAATGCAGTTAAGTGTCAATTGAGTCATATCAAAATTTTATCTCTGCAACTGTAAACAACAATGTAGATACAAAGTTTATCTCAACACCATAATGCCAGAAATCCTTTCTGACCTATATTGTCAATAACAAAATGACACATTCATCATGTCATTAATACACATATATATATATATATATATATATATATATATATATATATATATATATATGCTAAAACAAATCAATTTTATTCAGTTGAAATTAATACATCTTTTGTGAACTATGTGTGCACACACACACACACAAATTTCATAACTCAGAATAAAATAGCACAAAAGTTATTTTCTCTGTTTATAAATTAAAATATTTATATCACAGTACCATTCAACTGTATTTAAGCTCTTTTTTATTAAATCAGTTTTATTTCAATAAATCTCTCTGTAAACATTAATATGACACATTCAAACACTACCATAATGCAAATATTATAACTAATTTAAAAGCCACC